GCGAATCCTGTGCGCGAATGTCAGGCCCACCCGACCATGCAAGGGCTTGCATGGTCGCCGGCGGCGGGGAGCGCGTCAGCGGCTCTTGGGGACCATGCAAGCCCTTGCAGTCGCTCCAGCCGAAGAAGCAAGCGGCTGGGAGGCCGCGGCGGCACGGTTGGGAGGCCGTGGCGGCACCTACCTCCTGCGCCCGTCAGCTGGCGAGCCCCGGACCTGCGCCCATCAGCTGGGAGGTCTGGAGACGGAGACGGCTGGCGTGGAGGGCGATGGGGAGGCGGTGGCTCGGCGGGCAGGGTCCTGCCTGCGCGCGAATGTCAGGCCCACCCGCCCCATCTGTAAAAGAAAACGTCTTCCGCCCAAGCATAACGCCAGCAGTTCTGTGCCACAGAGGCTTGAAACACGGAGGCACGGGACGCGGAGCGGCGCGGTGGGAGGCGGCATTCGCTCCATAAGACGCACAGACATTTCCCCCCATCTTTTGGGGGGGAAAAGTGCGTCTTATAGAGCGAAAAATACGGTACCTCTCTTAACACATTCAGCCAACAGGCTTCAAGTCTATACTTGCACAATAACTCAAGGATGTTCTGTTTATCATATGTTTTCTTAAAATCCACAAATACGCAATAAACATTTTTTTTTTCTCACCCTGACCTGCTGAGGAGAAATACCTGGTCTGCACTCCTCCAGCTGGCATGAAGCTATAGTGCACTTCCCAGATGTTGTTTATGGTTTCCTCTGTACCCTCTTTTTTTTTTTTTAATTTTTTATTAATTTTTTCAAATAAACATATGAACAAATAATACAAATATGGTGCATTTCATTAGAAAAACAAACACATAAAAAGCCTACTCATTAGGTATTCAGAAATAATTGGTGTTCCCCCCCCCCGCATCCACACTCCCTCCACCTTCCTACCTACTTCCCTCTTCCTTCCTCCCCCTCTTGACCACTACCTCTCCTCTTTCCTCCTTCCCAACTATCCTACACATCCCATCACCTTCTTTTCCACCACCTCAGATGCAGTTTAGGGGTACTAGCCGATCATCTCCTCTTCTTAAAGACAAACACTTACATTACATTTATAAATACACAAAAAAAATTTTTTATAATTCTACCCCTTCATCCCCTTCCCCCCTCCCCCCCCGGACTTCCCAGAACTGAGTACAGGGATAAATACATAACATCCCAAGTCTAAATTAAGCTATCCATTCATAATACAAACAAAATTAACATACTTTAACTCTAACATACAGTAATAAACTTAAATATAATATATATATATATATATATACATTATATTAAATATATAGAAAATATTAGAAAAAAAATATTTATTCAAAAGCTATATGATAATTAATCACTTCATACTTTCTCTTCATATAATCTATCCATCTTCTCCACACCGAAATAAATTTTTCTTGAGATTGATCCTTCAAGTATGCGGAAATTTTTGCCATTTCTGCAAAATATGACACCTTCAATCTCCAATCATCCATAGTCGGTAATACCTCTTTCCTCCAGTTTTGAGCAATCAATAATCTTGCTGCTGTTATACAACATCAGATTCATTTCTTTAGGATCCAAATTTTCCATAATACCCAATAAAAATAATTGCGGTGTAAATTTTATCTTTTTCTTAAAAATCCGTTGAATATTCCACCAAATCTTAATCCAAAAAGCCTTTACATCCCTACATGTCCACCAAATATGATAATAAGTTGCGTCTAAATTACCACATCTCCAACATTTTGGCTGCAAATTTGGATACATGCAAGACAATTTTGGGGGATCTAGATGCCATCTATAAAACATTTTATAAAATTTTTCCCTTAAATTCTGTGCTTGGGTGAACTTGACATTTCTTACCCAAATTACCTCCCATGTATCTAACATGGGAGGTTCTTGAATATTTTGTGCCCATTTAATCATACAATCTTTAACTAATTCTGTTTCCGAATCAAATTCAATCAAAACACTATAGATTCTCCTAATATGAGCTCTACTTTGATCTTTAATCTGCTTTATCAAGTTCACATCTTCCAAAGTTAAACCAAGCTTTTGGTCTATACGCCACCTCTCCACCAACTGAGCATATAAAAACCAGGACTAGAGAATATTATCTTGTTTCAAATCATCCAATAATTTAAATTGCCAGTCCTGTCCTCTTGCAATAAGCAAATCCTTGTAAACAATCCCTTTCAGTTTAACTCCCCTTGTAATTCCTTGTATTGCATGTTCCGGAATAGCCCAAATTGGAATTTTAACATTTAATTTATAATAATACTTTTTCCAAACTCTCAAAAGTGCACTTCTTATAATATGAGACTTAAAAACTTGATCAACCTTCTTATCAAAAAATAAATAAGCATGCCATCCATAAAATA